CATGTTTATTTCTTTAGAACAATGCAAACACGGAAAAATGAGAAAACAAGTCATCAGTCTCCATCTAGTCAGAATAATTATGGTTAACATTTTGGAGTATGTGCATTCTGTCTTTTTTTCCTGTGCATATATATTTATATAGGTATCAACACATAAAATTCAAAGGACTCTTTCAAACTTTCTTCTGTTTACTCACTGAATTGCTGTTGCTGCAAGATACTTTTTCTCTTATGAGCAGGAAACTACACGAGTTAAAACTGGCTTTGGAGATGTACAGTTCATTTTACCAGTAATTTGCACAGTCAGGTGTACACTCCAGGGAACCAAGGATATGGGTATGTTTTGAAACTAATACACCAATTATTTTGAACACTGCTATACTGGAGTTTATTACTTATTTATTTTTGAGATGGAGTTTCACTCTCGTTGCCCAGGCTGGAGTGCGATGGCGCAATCTTGGCTCACCACAACCTCCGCCTCCCGGGTTCAAGCAATTCTCCTGCCTCAGCCTCCCGAGTAGCTAGGATTACAGGCATGCGCCACCACGTCAAGCTAATTTTGTATTTTTAATAGAGACGGGGTTTCTCCATGTTGGTCAGGCTGATCTCCAACTCCCGACCTCAGGTAATCCGCCCACCTTGGCTTCCCTGGGATTACAGGTGTGAGCCACCGCGACTGGCCTATACTGGAGTTTAGTTTATCCACTGGGCAGGTTGCTTCTCAAGTTCAAACTCCCTAAGCAGATATTCAGTGAGTATCTTACATAACTGGTACAAACGAGGTCATATCAAGGTCAGAACCTCTGTATGCGTTTATCCCTCCGTCTACTTCATTGATGAAATGTCTGTGTTCCTGAAGTGTATTTTGATAAGAATATCTGTCCACCATCTACCTAATAAAATGAAACTGATGCATGGTGTGATGAAGTTTTTTACCTTGTATGTAGCAACAAACATATGTTATGGGAAAGGCAGCTTCCTCATTCCCAGGGAAGTCAATTTTCTTCTGAGAGTCTGAGTCTTTATTAAATCACCAAATACCAACTCCCTGTATGTGCTCCCAATGTTGATTAACAAAAAGCAGCCGGGGGAAACCCTGCCTTTGATAGTCACCATACAGTATGCTGTTTTTGTTATCAATTGCTATGAAACAAACCACCCCCAAATTTAATGGCTGAAAGCAATGTATTATAATTTCTCACAGTTCTTTGTGTTGACTCGGCTTAGCCAGGCAGTCTTCTGCTGGTCTTGCTTACAGTCTCTTGTATGTGACTGCAGTCATATAGCAGCTGGGGCTGGAGTTCTCTGGGGGCTTGACTAGGTGGACTCGAAGGTCCAAGATGGTTTCTTCATTCATATGTCTGGTGTGTTGGTTCACATAGTCTCTTTATCTCCATTTAGAGTTTCATCTTCCATGACTTTTCCCATGGCCTCTCTTTCCATCAAGGTAGTCAGACCTCTATGCATAATGGCTGACTTCCAAGAATATAAAATTAAAAGCTGTCAGGCCTTTTTCAAGCTTAAGTTAAAACCTGGCATAATGTCACTTCTGGCCTCTTTCCATAACTTAAAGCAAGTTGCAGGGCCAGCCATGCTTAGTTCAATATGAGGGGACTAGACAAATGCCTCAATATCAGGAGGGGTGGTTTACTGGGTGCCATTTTTAGAAGCTTTCTGTACTTTGTGCTGGACAGAGTAGAATTTCAACTACAATTCTAAAAGATTCTGAATATTTTCTGGCTTAAACATGGAGAACAATTGAGAGGAAGTGACAGAAAGAGGAAGAAGCCTCAAAATGATGGAAGATTTTGAAACAATCGGTACTTTCTTGTGCCTTGCAACTTGGCAGATTAGAGCACAAAGAAGGTGGAATTAATGGGTTGATGCATCACCATTATCCAGACTTCATGATACCTTTTTTTTTTTAGATGGAGTCTCGCTCTGTCACCAGGCTGGAGTGCAGTGGTGTGATCTCGGCTCACTGCAACCTCTGTCTCCTGGGTTCAAGTAATTCTCCTGCCTCAGCCTCTCTTTGAGTAGCTGGGACTACAGGCATGCGCCACCACACCCAGTTAATTTTTGTATTTTTAGTAGAGACAGGGTTTCACCATGTTGGCCAGGATGGTCTTGATCTCTTGACCTCGTGATCCGCAGCCTCGGCCTCCCAAAGTGCTGGGATTATAGGCGTGAGCAAGCGCGCCCAGCCGAGGATACTAATTTTTTATGAGAAATCTGGAGTAAGGTATTACAATGGACGCATCTGAAGCATGTAGGGAGGGCTGTCTTCCCAAATACAGCAAATAATTCAGACATCAATGAAAAGGTACAAGAGTCAATAGAACACAAAACCAATTGAAGGGTATTTTTTCCAGATAGTAGCTAGGAGAGCCTGGCAGCAAAAAAGGATCCCACGGCAGCAAGACAGCTGAGAAAAACCAGCACCTCCTCTTTCTCGCTCTTTCTTGCTCCTCCGGAGCTTCTCAATATGCAGTATCTGTGCCCTCCTAACACAATAGGCAGGTTTGGAGGGCAAAGCAAGGGCTCAGGCTTTCATATGAAGACAATCACATTCCAGAGTCTGCCAAGACTGGGCACCTCCGTGACATGGGTGGTCTTGAGAATGGGGTTCCCTTTATTTGACAAAACCAAATGCCAAATAGCTTTTCCTTACTGTTTGTTTTTCTTAAACATGTTCAAACTCTTATCATATTGCTCTCCTCCCTTTGAAAATATGTACTCTGCAGGTGCCTGAAATAACATACTCTCAGCAAATTGCAGCATTGGAAAAGTGAAGGTTATTTCATTCAGTCTAAACTCAATGGAAATTTTGTGGCTTAACAAGGAAACACCAAATTATAAACTCCTTTAGAGCAGTAACCGTGTCATATGACTCTGGTATCTCCTACCTGCTAGGTTCATTGTCTACCTTCTCTGATGTCGTAATTTTAATAAGTAACTTGAATTGTTAACAATTTACTCTTGTCTTTCTCTTGGACTCAGAAATGTTATTTTATTATTATGTCTCTGCATCTTTCATGTGAGGTCCTTTGCAAACAATTTCTCCTAACTTGTTTTCATTGTGCAGATAATGTTGCAGGGTTTTCACATAACAGCTGAAAGGAATTAATAGGAATTGAAGAAGCTTGCTTCAATTACAAGTAATTAATGTAGGCTTCACTTATCTCAAGGAATATCTGAATATACAAATTTACACATAAATCCTGGGAGTGTCAAATTATGCAACAGAGAGAAAGTAAGCTCTGCAGTTTTTTGGGCGTTGATCGCTATAGTCAGGGGTGTGTGTGTGTGTGTGTGTGGTTTTTGAATGAAATAGTAAAACCACTGCCAGTATTATCTACTTCACCTGGTTCTGAATAATTCCAGGAAGGTAGAAACTGAAAACCAGTCTTGTTAAAGAGTTAGAAAGACTGTAAATGCGTAAGAGGAAAGAAAAAAACAAAACCAAACCATTTATCTATCCTCTTTGAACCCGTATAAGAGTTCACAATATTCCTGATTTCAAATACTTGAAGTTTTCTCTGGGCAATAATTAATGTTTAAATAATTGTTTTTAATGTAAGACATAACACATACGCATTGCAGATTTAAAGCATACTTGAAAGTAGCAAGGAAAAAGATAAAAATCATTGATTCCACAGCATTTAATATATTGGTAACTATCCTTCAATTTTTTTCTGGGCACATGTTTTTATAAAATGAGCCAATACTATACAAACGTTTTTGTAACTTTTTAAAATTTGTACTATTTTGTGAGTACGTGAAAAAGAAATTTGTTAAGATTAAAAGATCATAGCATGTTGTGGTATTACACACTGTTGAAGGGCGCCATCTGTGGCGTGGTGGCTGTGCTTTAGTGGGAAGAAGTTCTCTTGCGGTTCCCGTTTTTCTCCCAGCTCTGGGTAGGCAATACTGACCACTCTCCGACCTAAAGGGACTTCTCCGTTTGCCCTTGACGGAGACACGTGGGAGTTCAGAGGAGAGCGTTCAGGGTGACTGCGAACACGAGCTCCCGGCGCTGTCCACATCTCCCCTGGGCAGGGCCCACTGCCCCCAGCCCGGGAGGGGAGCAAGGGCGGGAGGGCAGTTGGCAGTGGCACGGCCTGGGTCCAAACCTTTAGCCCCCCACCCCGGCTGGCGCCACTCTCGGGCGGTAAAGTGAGATAAAAGCAGGGCAAGGTTCTGTAACTCCAAATCAGGGAGGCGCAGCTCCTACACCAACGCCTTTCCGGGGCTCCGGGTGTGTTTGTTCCAACTGTTTAAACTGTTTCAAAGCGTCCGAACTCCAGCGACCTTCGCAAATAACTCTTTATCTCGCGGGCTAGAGCGCTGCCCTTATTTGCGGGGGAGGGCAACTGAACGCCGGCACCGGGGCGCTAACTGTGGCCTCCTCTCGATCCCCCGCCTGCTGGGACCCCAGCTGGCAGTCCCTTCCCGCCCCCGGACCGCGAGCTTCTTGCGTCAGCCCAGGCGCGGGTGGGGGATTTTCGGAAGCTCAGCCCGCGCGGCCGGCGGGGGAAGGAAGGGCCCAGGCTCTTGCCCCGCCCTTCTGGGGCGGGAGGCGGAGCGGGGCAGGGGCCCGCCGGCGTGTCGCCGATTAGCGAGTGCCGGGGAGCCCGGAGGAGCCACCGACGCCGCTGCCGCCACCAGAGCCGCCCTGTCCGCGCCGCGCCTTGGCAGCCGGAACGGGGCCGCCGTCGGGGAGCCCCAACACACGGTCCCCAGCTCAGCATGATGGAGTTGGAGCTGCCGCCGCCGGGACTCCCGTCCCAGCAGGTGCTGCCTCGGCCCTCTGGGCCCTGCGGTGGTGCCGGGACGGGGGCGGGGGAGCTAGGGAACCGCGGCCCGGGAGGGATAGCCGCAGCCGGCTTCCTCCACGTCCGGCCAGAGCCAGTACCGCAGCGCTGGCTGGAGCCGCCGCGCTTGCGCTGGGGCAGGGTGGGGAGGGGCAGCGGGGACGCGGCCGGGTGGTCCGACCGACCACGAGCCCGAGGGCGAACGGGTGGGAAGTTGCGGGAAGGTCTGGGGACTGAGCCCGCGGGCGTGGGCAGTGGTGGGCGAATCCAGCCGCGTCCCCGGTCCCCAGAGCTGGGCTTCGGAGCCCCTAAGTTTGAGCGGCCCGGCGGGCGGCGGGGCAAGAGGGGCGGACGCTGGCCGTCTGAGCCGGCGCGGCCCGGCCCTTCCGGGGCTGCGCGGCTCCCCCGCCTCAGAGCCGGCAAAAATGTGCCTAGTCACGGGGCCACTCTCGGGGGAACTGAGGTCGCCTTCGGGCTGGGACCCAGAGCCCCTTCGCCGCGCCCCAAGACCTCCGTGTGTGCGGGCTGCGGCGCGCTCACCCCGCTGGGCCGTCTGTGGGCGCTGCTTTGCGAAGTCATCCATCTGTCGGATCACTCTCTGGCAGCCTTGAGCTTTCTTGAAAGCTCAACCCCGGGACGAGGGAGGAGCGCCTGAAGTGCCCAGCGGGCCCAGAAGCCCCGACGTGTGGCGGCTGAGCCGGGCCCCGCGCACTTTCTCGGCCGGGGAGGGGTTCGGGCCCGGGCACCCGGAGTTGGCCTCTCGCAACGCCGCGGGAAAGTGCGGGCGAGGGCAGCGGACTCTGAGGCCGGAGTCGGCGGCACCCGGGGCGTCTAGTTCGGACGCGGTGCCCCCTGGTGGCGCGCACCGCGCGCGTGGCTTTGGCCTCTGTGACAGCGGTCTGTTGGCCGTCACAGCAGCCCTCGGTTGGCCCTTTCCTGCTTTATAGCGTGCAAACCTCGCCGCGCCAGGGCCAAGGGACAAGTTGGAGCTGTTGATCTGTTGCGCAATTGTTATTTTCCCCAGAGCGGCTTTGTCTTTGGATTTAGCGTTTCAGAATTGCAATTCCAAAATGTGTAAGACAGGAGATTCTCTTCTGTGCTGTCAAGGGTAAGAGTTGCGAGTGTAGATTAGAATTTCTATTGCTTTTAGTTTGTTAATAATTTTTTGCTTTCAGCTGTTATTTCTTCCCTGAGTACTTTATATATTTTTCCTTTTCAGTTGAGAATTTGCCTCAGTTTCTTAACATGTCCACCCTCTTTTGCAGGGGCAGAGAGTGGAACGCTTGCGTTTCAAAACACATGCTAATTTCTGTAAATTGTTATAAAAGTGAAAAGAAGTTTCAGCTCATCCTTGTAGAAACTTTAAAAGTAGATATTTATATTTCTAATTTCTTTTGTAAATGAATTTTAGGAAAAAAATTGGAATTCAAGGAAACGTGTACTTGATGTACGGTAAATTCGTTTATGCTGTTAAATGTAAAGTCTTAGGTTAATTCCAAAGATCTATTGTAAAGTTTTAAGTTATAGACAATGTATTAATTGTGCCTTTTTTTCCCCCTTTAAAGTTGTCTTGAACTTTTCCCCAATCTTGATTGGGATTATATTCTTCTGGTTCCAACTAGGGAAGAAGTAAATTGTACTTTACGATTTATTTAATAGCTGCTGTTCAAGAGTTATCTATAGGAATGCTTGTTTGACCGAAGGATATATGATAAAAATGAACTTTGGTTTTTCTAATTTCCCGAATTGTCTACAACCCTCTATTAAATTTTTCTTTCTTTGCTGTGTAATATAACATTCCATATACAAAAATGCATAAAACATATGTACTGCATTAAGTGTGTATTTTTCAATTACGTTTGATAAAAATAACTGCTTTTCTGCCTTTGTAATCAGATATCGATTTGCATATTTGAAAACAGAAAAAGAACAAGAAAATTTAGAATTGATTTCGTTTATGATTCATATTAGATTGTTGTCATCCATAAAGATTTGAACTGAGTCAAACATTTTCTTGATCTTTTGTCAAAAAAACTCTCCAGGTGTGAAGTGGTAGTAGGATGTAGTTTTTCACCTTCTGTGCAGAGGATGTGTTGATAAACAGGGCAGTAAGGAGAGCCTTAGATTCAGTATCCCCATTAGGTGGAAGGAACATCCATTACTCTTTTCAAGGGTGTCTTGGAGAGATAAAGTACTTTCCTGGATGAGGGATGAAGCTGATATTGAAATAGACCGATGAGATTATGTTTAAGTCAAACAAAAGAAAAATAGGACAGGCCTCTCATCTCCTGAATGAATGTTAAGCAAAGACCAACTTGACTTTTTAGATATGTGAAAAATCTCTTGAGAGGTTGTGGAAGCAGCATGTAGGAGGATAAATGCATAACTCACATCAGTCTTTTCCGCATTAAAAATAACTTGGGCCATTTTGAAATCTTTCTTTCTTGCCCTGGGTTGTTATAAGCAACGTTGGGGGAAAACCGACTCTGTCTTTAGGATTACCAGGCAAAGTTGAAAGCCAAATGCATCATTTTTCTTAAGATTTGTTTCTATTGAGGATAAATCATGTTTAACAAAGCTGCGTGAAAAAAAGGAACACAACAAGTACATTTTTTTTTCTGGGAATTTCCTCTGTCCTGACTGAAGACATTAAAAGGGGGTTTTGTGTCAGTATTTCCTCCTTAACTGTTCCTTGAACGTGGGTTATCTTTTCAGTATGCAGGAAGAATTTGGCACTAAGATAATAATAGATAAGTTACTGGGCACTTCCCTGGGTCCAAACATAATTGCTTCACATGCATAATTTTACAGTAACCTCACGGGAAATACTATTATCCCTGGTTTCCAGGTTGGGAAAACCAGAGATAATAGTTAGATCAGGCATTAGGTTAGGAAAGAGGCACAGAGAAAGGCCAAGACCTGCTAAGGTGACCAAACTATTGAGTGGCCAAGGTAGCATTCAAACAGGTTTGACTCCTGGGGGTTCCTAATCACCACTTCCAGACTACCAAAACTCCTTAAACTTTAAATAGGAAGAAAAACTCACACTTCAAAAGGTGAGTAAGTTGAGATTTGCCTATTCTGGGGGAAGGAGAGGCTAGAATGTAAAAGATTGATGTTTGCAGCTTTTCCATTTAGCAAGACACTTAATCACTGTATGACTGGGGGAGGTGGACCTTGTTAAATGCTGGGAGAGTGAATACAACCCATCAATGGGATTACCCACTGTGGTCCTTTTCAGGAAGACACAGAAGCCTCGGTGGGTTCAATTTAGAGAGGCAGGACTGTTTTTTTGTTTTGTTTTGTTTTGTTTTGTTTTTGAGATGGAATCTTGTTCTGTTGCCCAGGCTGGAATGCAGTGGCCTAATCTTGGCTCACTGCAACCTCCACTTCCCGGGTTCAAGTGATTCTACTGCTTCAGCCTCCAGAGTAGCTGGGATTATAGGCACTCACCTCCCGGATAATTTTTTGTATTTTTCGTAGAGATGGGGTTTCACCATGTTGGCCAGGCTGGGCTGGTCTCGAACTCCTGACCTCAGGTGATCCACCCGCCGCGGCCTCCCAAAGTGTTGGGATTACAGGTGTGAACCACTGCGCCAGCCTGTTTCTTAATATAATAAGTTTTTTAAATTCCTGGGGTCTTGGCAATGTCTAAGATTCTGCCTCACAGTTTTCAGGAACTGTTTCCCTTTGTTCTTAATTAAATCTCTTTGCTACTGGAGTCTTTGCCTTTGTTCGCCTTGCTAGTTGGTACATTTCTTCTGTTCCATTGGCGCTTTTTGTTTTGAAGTAGTGCTCAAAAATAAGTTTGGTAGTAAGAATATGGTGAAGACTGTGACGGACAGGGTTAAACCAGGTTGAAGGAAAGAGCAGAATGGGGAAAATTTGAGTTGAAAACAGCTAGCAGAAACCTGATGGCGCAAATTCAACCCTAATCTCATGTTTTGGCACTTTTGAACTATAGCAAGCATAAGGGCTCAAGTCTTATCTAGTTGAAGCTAACTTGGGTCTTTGAGAATAGTACATCTCAAAATTAAACACTTTCTTAGTCCTTATTGTTAAACAAGTTGTTTTTGGAATTATTGTCTTATTTGTCTGAATTAAGTGTGCTGCAGGACTTATAGGATCTGATGGATGATTTGCCTAAAAGTTAGTCCAGGTCAGCCTTAGGGCATTTAAGTGCTTGGTCCAGCCACTTTCTGAAAGTTGACTGAAATATGTTGCACACCAGGGTAGAGGAGGACAAGTTTACTAGATGTCATTTTTAACCTGCTTGTCTTCATCTCTGACTGTAGAAATGTTTATTCATTGTAAGTTTGCCATAAATAGAGAACAGAGTTTATTTTTTTGATCATTTAATTTCTAGGAGCTATTGAAATTTCACTGCTACCTGCTTTTAAATAAGCACCAACAAACATTTATTAAAAGGGCTTTAAGGTATAGGCCAAGATTTATTCAATTGCTAATGGTATGTTTTCTGTAAATGAAAGCAAAAATATGTTCAAGTATATAATATTAAATATTAACATTCAGAAACTGTTGGAGAAATATATATGGCTTTCTTATACCAGACTATACCCCAGACATGAAAACAAGACTGTTGAACAACATCCTGTGCTACTTAAAGTTTGAGCCTTCTATGTGTCAGCTTCTGCCATAATAACTTTGAACTATGACTATTAAGTATATTAAGAACTTTGAGTAGGGGAGGCACTTTTAATCATTTGTTTTTATGGCATATGTACTGTAATACCTGTGTGTTGCAAATCCTGGTGTTTAAAAGTCTTTTTGTGTATTTGAGCATGTAAGTTTATTTGGCCCAAACTGTTGGTACTAGTAAAGACAAGTTCAGGGCATTAAGTAGGACTTGGACTTACAGCACCAAGTTCGTCTTTCTTTTTTTTTTTTTTGAGACAGAGTCTCACTCGGTCACCTAGGCTAGAGTGCATTGGTACAATCTCGGCTCACTGCAAGCTCTGCCTCCCGAGTTCAAGCGATTTTCCTGCCTCAGCCTCCCGAGTAGCTGGGATTACAAGTGTGCGCCGCCACGCCAGGTTAATTTTTGTAGTTTTAGTAGAGATGGAGTTTCACTGTGTTGGCCAGGCTGGTCTCGAACTCCCAACCTCAGATGATCCGCCTGCCTTGGCCTCCAAAAGTGCTGGGATTATAGGCGTGAGCCACTGTACCTGGCCTCCAAGTCCATCTTTCAAAGGCCCTGTTGATAATTGACTCTTGAGAGTCATTACAGTCCATCAACAGCCTATATTCTGAATATATATATATTTTTTAAATTCTAAGGCAATGCTAAGTAGCCATTCCAAATAAGGTTAGAACTGAGACTTTAGGGCCTGTATTATCAGTTGTACACTGACAAGCTCTGAACTCTATTGCTTTTTCAAATCAGAGAAGAAAAATGAGTAAGAAAAGAAAAATAGGCCCGGCGCGGTGACTCACGCCTGTAATCCCAGCACTTTGGGAGGCTGAGGTGGGCGGATCACGAGGTCAGGAGATCGAGACCATCTTGGCTTATACAGTGAAACCCCATCTCTACTAAAAATACAAAAAATTAGCCGGGCGTGGTGGCGGGCGCCAGTAGTCACAGCCACTCAGGAGGCTGAGGCAGGAGAATAGCGTGAACCTGGGAGGCAGAGCTTGCAGTGAGCCGAGATGGTGCCACTGCACTCCAGCCTGGGCAACAGAGCGAGACTCTGTCTCAAAAAAGAAAAAGAAAAAAAAGAAAAGAAAAATATGGATCACTTTGGCTTTGAGGCCTCCTCTGAGTTTATAGTTTTTACCTTCTGTATTACTTAGGTGATCCTCTCTAATGGCATTTTAAATCTTTCTTGATACTTGTCTTACTTATCTTTTTTTTTCTCTAAGTAGATAGCTCCTTGAGAGCTGTGCATAGAATTTATAGATATAGATGTATTTTAAAGTAAGATACAATTTACATACCATACAGTTCACCCATTTAATCTAATTCAGGGTTATGCAACCCTATGAACCCTATGAATTTAGTGGTTTATTCATAGGGTTATGCAACCATCACTGTAATCAATTTCCAACACCCTCAAAAGGAACCCCATATCCATTAGCAGTCACTTCCCA